GGAAATTGAGAGCGAAAAGTGACATTTCTTTTTGACGAGAAGTTGCTAGTTTTACTGGATTTTACTGGATAAATTTTTGCTAGTAACAACTTGCAAGCGAGAAAAACAGCTGATCGCATGTTGTTGGGTGGAATTGAAACTAATAAAATAAATGTTTATGAGGTTTTTATAGTTGAAATTGACAAAATAAACCTATTTAAACATAATGTACATTGTCTTATTAGCAACTAGCTGCGAATAAACAACAAATTAATCAGCTGTTCGTAAAACTTGCAAATTATTACTGGTTTTGCGTTCTTGTACTTTTGTGCTATGAGAGCGAATTCTCAGAAATTCAGTTACTGGAGAGTTACTGGCAAGTTACTGGATAATTTGTAAAAGAACACAACTATTATCTGAATATAAGCCTCATTAAAGTTATATGCAATTTGTGATTTATGACCTGCTCTCGGACGCAATATAGGAACATCATCGGCATAGGCCTAGTTGTAAGCATTAGTCCAATTTCGAGAAAAAACCATAGGTACTGTCAAATAGAGTTTAATCCAGTTTAAAGCAGCATTTATGCAAGCAAGAGGGATGTGTAGAAGAGAAAGTGTTGATTCCAATTACTGTTAAAATATTACTAAATTATATGCCTGCTGTGATAAAATTTCTCTACAGTTTCATTATTCACATGCTGTGCGTTAACGACTCAGCTACTGTGCGCTCAATTAAGCAACAATACTGAAGGATACACTTTACAAAAATACTGACCTGACCAAAAATAAACTGAAAAGGCTCTATTTATAACACCGTGCGACAGTAAATTTTACACACACAAAATTAATATATTCGCGAAAATATGGGAAAAATATAGTAAAACTGGATTTTTATTTTTTTCACTCTGACGTCTAGATTTTTTTAAAGGACTTTGAAATATCAAAAATATTACTAATTTAAAAAGTTATTGAAAAATTTGAGTGCGATGTAGAATAACAATGTGGGTATCAAATAAAAGAGAATATCCCGTAGAATTAAAAAATAAAAATTTTTTGGTGCATAATGACGAATGGGTTGGAAACTTTCCTTTTAAAATTTTATCCCTCAACCCTGCAAACCAAAGTTCCCGAAATCTTAAGGAAATCGTTCGTAGTATCGCATTTCTGTAACGATTTTTTTACGAATTTTTAAAGAAAGTTATATGAAGTGGTTGACACGAACTCGTAAAAAAAATAAAGAAAAATAAAGAAAAATCTGGAAAAATTCTGAAAGGTATTCTTCACATAGCAGCATTATTTTCGTTGCTTCACAGATTTTCTTCCGAAATTTCGTAAAAGAATGGAAGTGTGCGTAATTTATTTCATTTTCGAAATTTCGTCAAAAAATCGAATTAAATCTTTACCGAATTCTTTAAAATTTCTTTACAATGCAGAATACTCTGAAAAAATGGTTTGCAGGGAATATGCTTGAAAATTTGTAATATTTATTTTTGAAAAAATTATATATTAAGGGCTAATATAGACACGACCACATCCTCGAATTTCGTCCGCCTAATTTTATTAATTAAAAAAAAATTAATAAATTTAAAAGCGCATTTTCAATACTTATTCGTTCTTGTAAACCAAAAAATGTTTTTCAATTCTACAGAATTTTCTCTTTCATTTGGTACCCATATTGTTATTGTACATTCCACTAATATTTTTAAATAATTTTTTGAATTAACCATATCTTTAAAATTTTAAAGTCCTTTAAAAAAAATCTGACGTCAGAGTGATGGACTAAAAACGAAGCTTTACTATATTTGGTTCATTGTTTCGTGAGTATATTGATTGTTACGTGTGTTTCGATTTTTTTTTTTTTTTTTTGTTTTTNAAAAAATTGCACATGCCTTTTGAGTGTGTTTGTGTGTGTGTATATTTGTTTTGCTTTTAATGCAGCTTCTACGACATATTAACACCGATTTTTTTATGTAATATGCTGATTTATTGATTGAGCAATGCGTACTTGAAGGAATTTTTCTTTTTGTTATTGTTGCTGATTTGTTATTTTACTCTTTTTTGCTTCTAAGCCGACAAAAATTGCCAACCATGGCACTATTGCTTAAATAATCGATATTGCAGCGAAGAAAAGCAACAAAACATTACAAATACATATATGTATGTCAGTATAATGGCATTTACAAGGCTTAAATTTGCCAAATTGTGTCAGCAACAACAATAACACGCAGCCTAGCGAAAACAAATTTACAACAGCACGCCTGTAAGTAGGCTATAAAGCGTATGAAAACTGTCAAAAATCTATGTCAACTGCGCTGCTGCGTATTAGTCGTCCTTACAACAAAAAATTTTCAACATAAATTTTCACTTTCCTTGCGATAACAACAACGTTTCGTCGTCGTAACTTTTATGAAATTTCAGCAAATTCTACATCATACGCATTTTCACGTTTTATATTTTTTTTCTGCGCTATTTGTTGTAGGTGCACTACTTTTCACTTTCACATTTGTTAGATTTTCCAAAGCTGCCTCCCTTTTTCGCCTGCTGTTGCTGCTGCTGCGATACGCAATCAATTCATCGATTCTTTGCCACTTTGCACGCACATTTCTCCATCAAATTTTATTTCGCACCACTTCCCAATACACTGCATTTGCCTGTAAATTATATTTTTTGTTTAATTTATTGCACACATTTTTCGCTACTGACTGCTTCTTTTTCTTGTTCACAGATTTTCACTAAAACAATTTCCTAATTAAAATTGGCATTTGCTTTGTGTTGTTGCTGCTTGTATGCACAAATTTCCTTTTTCCTGTGTGTGTGTGTGTGCGTGCGTGTGTGTATTGCAGACAACGCAAACGTTCGCCCACTTGCGCGTTGCCTTCTGGTTCGTTGCGCGTTATCCGCCGTTACGAGAGCAACTGACACGGCCGAAAGTGTTTTTAGCTCAGCCATTTGGTCGTAGTATTGGCCGAATTCGCTGGCCATTCTTATGCACGTACATACATATTTTGCCTCTCATCGTGGCATTTCCCACTCGGAGTTCGAAAATGCACACCTGTGTTCCACCGCAACAGCGAATCTAAACAAAACCAGCTGCTTGGTGTTCCTCTCGCAACCCCCCCTTTAATCTAAGATCCTTCGCTTGTTCATTGGCTAGCACAATTGTTTATAGCCCACTCGGTTTCTACATACATTCGAAATACACATTTTCGAAATGACCTTTGCAAGCTTATGATTCGAACTTTTGTTTTGTAGAAACTATTTCTGGCCAGCGTTTGTTGTTAAGAAGCTTGCGAGACACTTTGTCGCCGAACAGAAAAATATGTATTTTGGTGTATGTGCTTGAAAGCTAAAATGGAATAAAGATCATAGTTTGGCGAGCTTGAAAGTGAAAAAGAAACTTAGCGCGTAAGAGGTGAAAATTAGTCTTAATCTGAACCTTAGTACCTAACTTAATACCTTAATACATAACGGTTGTTTGTAACAGGCAAAACGAATCGAGATAGATATAGACAAATGTATACATAAATGATCAGAATTAAAAGACTGTCTGTCCGTCCGTCCGTCTGTGCACACGATAACTCGAGTAAACATCTAGATATCTTAACGAAAATATGTGTATTCCTTTCAGCGTAGGACGGATGGTATTGAAAATTTCCAAAATCGGACAATAAACACGCCTACCTCCCATATAACGGTAGTTTTCAGAAATACCAAAACTGCGATTTTTTAGGCTTATTCACTCAAAATTGATATTTACAATGATGTTTAGACGAAAAATAAGAATATTATACATTTTTGCGAAATGGGCGTAGCCACGCCCACATATGATTACATGTGTATATCTTGGTAACCGCTTCACCAAATTTCTCCCAAACTTGGCAGTTGTTTCCTTGGTACAACATACCAAACGGCTGAACATTTTTAAAATCGGACAATAACCACGCCCACATCCCATATAACGGTAATTTAGAGTAATGCAAAATCTTCGATATATCAGTAAATACTGAAGCTAATTTATTCAAAATTTTAGAAAGGACGTGGCACCGCCCTGGAATGCAATAAAAAATCTTTCGTATTAAAAAATTATTAAATGAACAATTGAGTATCGTTACTGCAGGTCTCCTGAAGAGAGCCAGAGTTTTCCGATCGAAAAATATTGATTTTCAAGAATTCTATACCATTTCTACTGAAATTTGTTTTTTCCCCATATAAAATACATCGAAAAGTTTGAGCGCTTTGAGCGACCTCTTAATACTTTTTGATTTCAAAATAAAAAGCAGGGTATATTTTTTCGAGATATAGGGGGTGAGAGCAAGAAAATTCCGACCTTATTAATTTTGGACCACCCCAATGTACATACATATACACACATATATCTGATCAAAAACGCGATTAAAACAGGTAACAATAAGTGCGTCATGTTTATACTACCTATATTAAGTACATCTTGGCTAAATTTTTCAGGTAATTCGTCCAGTATCTTGATAGCACAAAAATTTCCCAAAAAGTTTCAGAGAGTGTTACTACAGTGATAACCCTTTGCCAGATATAAATTTTGTTGTTCCGACCGTCGCTGATCATCTTGACTCTTAGAAACGTCCAGTATCTAGTCGATACTTATAATGACAGAATTGGAACCTTGTGTAAGTTTCAGAATGCTGTTCTTTATGCCATTAAAGGAAGGATGTAAGTTTCAATCAATTCACAATTGGTCTACCGTACGAAAAATTATTATTTTCTATTAAAAACACTATAGAGGATTAATTATGTATTTACTTGGATCATTTGCTGATTTTTATTTATGAAATTTCATAGAATTTAAAGTAATGAGTAGAATTTAAATTTAAAACATGAATGCAAATCTGTGTGTATGGTGTTTTTATATGTATGTATGCATGCAAATCAATTCCCGACTACGCATAAATATGCATTTTTGTATGTGAACAGTGCAAAATGTCCCACAAACGAGATTCGTAACATTTCGCTTGAAGTTTTTACAACATAAATACATATGTATGTAGTTACATTTATTTTTGTTTATTTGGTTTTATGTTTGTGGAGCAATTTATTTATTTAATTTTACGTTATCGATTTGTTTTTCTCAAAGCGGTAGATAGGCGAAATTAGCAGCCCTCTCCGTTTCGAACATTGATTGCAAATACAAAAGCTTTTTATCTTAAATCTAAACATTATTATTTTTTATGTATATATGTATATATTTATGTAACTATACAGCTGCTTGAAGAATGACATTCGCTAGCCTTGGTAAATGTTTCTTAGATTTTTAAGAGCGTTTTGAAGGTGTCTTCAACGCAGTTAAAAATATTTGCCCAATATTCGTTTCAATAATTTAGCGTTGATTTGTAAAGTGATGATAGTACTACATACACATATGTTTTTATTAATTTGTAACTTATGCAGATCCGACTATTAGAAGTCGATGTAGTTATTTCGCTAAAATGGTCTCTTCGCTCAAGTTCCATCACACAAGTCTATATAAAATATAAAACAATTTAGAACATTCCACCATACGGGGCATCGAATTCGCTGTCTCTCATTGAATAGCCAAATATGGTTAAGTAATTAATAATATTACTTATCAAAGTAAGTGTAGCTGCCATCCAAGTGATCTGAAATGTTAATGGATACAAAATTTTCAAATGAATTGTGCAACAGCTAATCTGTCTTACCACTTGACTGTGCGCCAATACAATTGGAAAAGCGAAGGCGCTCAGCACCATGCCAGCGCAAAGGAATAGGGCGAACTCCGTCTTTGGATTAGTCTCATTCCCTTGGGAAAAGCGTTTCGCAATGAACACCGGCAAAACGGAGAGCACGTAGAATAATAATACGAAGAATGGATAGAAAATCTTAGGTTGAGGCACGGCACACGCCAATATGAGGAAAGTCATGCCCAGGCATGTTAGAAATGCACAAACCAATAATCTAAAGTAATAAAGTTTATCAAGAATACAAATACAAGTTTATTACAACGCAATTAAGTGCATTAGGTCAGAACTTTTGGTTCTTTTGTTCACTTACGCTGTTTTTAGAACACCAAGTCATTCGAGATTGCGGTTGAAGGGCAGTGCCATTGGAAGCGTAGCCAAAATGGAAATATTTTAGTATTAGTAGGGTACTGCAATAGATATACTTCACAATTACCTTTCAAAGCAGCCATTTTTACCACAATTTTCTAAATTTATAGAAATTTTTCACTCGAGATCCTTTTGTGTGTTTACGAAAATTATTGTACCTGCATTAATCATCAGGAAAACAACCAAGTGTAATCAAATGTCAAATAAACTGCGGAGTTACCGGAAAGCTACAATGGATAAATAATAATCAGATATAGTATTACCAGTTTATAGCGCAATAAAAATGTTTTTTCGCTTGAAAATAAACTTGAATTTAATTTAAATCAATATAAATTAGAAATACCTACTCATTTTGTGAATTATTGCGAAATTAAGTTTAAAATATTAAAATTCAGTATGGTAGCACCAGTGGGAACAGATTAATGAACAGAAACTGACTGAAGGGTTGCTTTCGGCGTTTAATGAAAGTCAACAGGAAATGATTTCAAGTCTTTATAAGTTAAACAAAATTTATGTTTTTAAAGAACGCGAGTTGTGAATATTAAAAATTTAGGTGAAATTAAAAACTTTAACATGGTATGCATGCATGAAACTATGGTAAAAGTTGATTTTCAATGTCTTACTCAGCCATATGAACATATAGTAAGAATACGTGGATACAATTAGTTCCTATAAAAAGTGAAAAAGAGCCAGTATCAAATGAAAAATTCAAAACGGATGAAATAGTATAAAAAATTCCGTAAAAAGGGTTGGCCAACCTCCGAATTTCAACTAATAGTTATACTTTCGAATTGTTTGTATAAATAAACTATTCCCATTTATTCGAGTACATCCTTTGAAGTCACTAATTATTCCTTTTTATTAACTTATGTATGTATGTACGTATGTGCATAACCGGAACGAGTACGTAGACAGACCAGTCATATTTGTAAAATAAAATAAAGCTCAGGTTTCGTAGTGAAATGCTCTGTATTCTATGTCAATTGAACTCCTTAAACATCCAACAGTGTCTATTAGACTGCATCACTCCCCATACAAAAAAAAAGTTGCTACTATGTTTCCATTGGAATTATAAAATCTATTATATTTTAAGACGTCCACCAAAATATTTCGGAAAAATATTAAGATTTAAGTGAGCTGGACCGATTTGAAAATACCTCCAAAAATGGAGTTTTTTATGAATAAAAATAGTTTCTTAAAGATTTTTTTTTGAAAAAATCCTCTCAAATGACAAAACGGCTTAAGCTTAAAAAATCTGCAGAAGAATATTTTAAAAAAATTAAAAAAAATTTTGAACGGAATCGTAATGATGAGATTTTTGTTGCTTTTTTTTAACTTTTTTTAAAGATTGGCATAACAAAAACTTGAATAACTGAACCTAAACTCTTCCAATTTAGACTTAGCAGATGTCATTAGAAAGGTATTTTCTCTGCTTTTTATTTCTTTGCTAATAAACTCATTCAAAGGATGGAAGAGAAAGGTAGGATGAAGGAACGTCATTCAAAGTTGAATTAAGATGTGTTGGTATTTGAAAAAAAAAATATTGGGACACGAATGACTTTTTTTTGGACAGAAATAAAAACAGTGTGAAAATACCTTTCAACTGAGATCCCATAAGTCTAAATCAGAATAGTTTTGGCCCAGTTATTCAAGTTTTTCGTAAATCAATCTTTGAAAAAAGTAAAAAAACAGCATCACAAATCTCATTCTTACGATTCCGTTTAAAAGATTTTTAAATATTATTCTTTTGTCATCTGAGGGGACTTTTTTCAAAAAGTTCTTTAAGAAACTATTTGTATTCATAAAAAAATAAATTTTTGGAGGGATTTTCAAATCGGGCCAGCTCACTTAGATCTTAATATTTTTGGTGGACGTCTTAAAATATAATAAATTTTGTAATACCGGCGGAAAAACCGCAACTGTTTTTGGAGATGCAGTCTAGTGTCTATCCTTTTTAGAGACAATTCGCAATATTTTTAGCAGAGTAGTATGTATGTATAGAAAATATGAAGGCTGTTCAGGATCTTATGCATATGATCTTGCATTTGCATATTTTTCTGTGCATTTGTAAATTCACATTTCCATTCACCATTTTCTAAATATCCTGAAGAGCCCCATGGATTTCAATTGAATACCTTGATTTAAAATAAAACGATTAAACATAAAAATAAAATGAATAAATTAATTTGGCTATTGGCCGACCGGTTGTCTGTTCGGTCGCCGGGGATAAGTTCGACACAGTGAAAGAAGCTACAGACTTGGCAGAACGCGGCACTCACGATAGCGACAGGATGCCTTCTGATGTCGCCTGAGCACTACCTATACAGTGAAGCCTGCTTCCCGTAAGGGAGCATAACAAAATTCTCAGCTTGCAGTTTCTGATAGGATGCTTGAGGAAGTACCTCCGCCCAGTCACGTTAGAAGGCATCTTTCCGACTACGTACCGACGAGTGATCAACGGCATTCACAGGGAGTCGGTCACCACCTACGCCGACTCCCGACTTATGAATGCCGTGATCGGAGCCAAATCACTACCATCGCAGACTCGGAGCTACAACTATCACGAGACAGCCGCGCTGCTCCGGTTCAGTTACGGTCAGGATATTGTAGCCGTCTTAACAGCTTCTTGTAAAGACTAGACTCCCAAGTGAGTGTCCGGCATGTGGAGACTTCCCCTCTTCCCCTGTCAGCTCAATCCCACTCAGCTAACATCTCTCTCCCTTTGGTCCGTCGAAACAGCTCGTTTCTTGGGTCTCCCGTTCGTTGAGCTTGACGACAACGATTGATGTAGTAGTAGTGCCGCTACAACAATAGCATACGAGAATCTCGGGATCCACACTACTACAAATAAGTGCTCGGTAAGGCCGATGAAGAGTCGTGCTACATCAGCCTAGTGATCTAATAACTATTCGAGTTCTTTTATGCTCTTATTGGAGCCTAATGCGATTTATGCTCTGCATCTCCGGCGTCCCAAGCAATTTAATGTCTGATCGTTAAAAGTAATCTTACTATAACTGGTATCTTCTCCTCACTTGAGAAATCCTCCTCAGCTTTTCCGTCCAGAGCGGTAAGAATTCTCCCGAGCCGATCGAGACCAAAGATTTTTTAGGACAATGGCGTCTAATTTTTGTGCAACTTTTCAATATAATTTTTTGGCAGAAGCATGATATTCCTGTTTTGGGCACTAGATGGTAAAATAAAATAAAATAAATGGTAAAATTTTTAATACAGACCACCACCTAAAGAAGAAGACCTAAATCCCTGATAAAGTTCAACAGTGCTTTCGGGGATTGGGAGTGAATGTGCTTAAGCTATGGCCACATTGAGCCTAAACTTCTTTCCCGTCTTCTGGAGACAGCATCACACTCGGCGAGGATGTGTCTCACCGGGAAAGTCGCAGAACCGGCAGCGGTCATTTGCCCATATCCCCATCTTATCTAAATGCCCTCTTAAACTGCAGTGTCCTGTAAGGAAACCTGTTATTATTCTAAGCTTCTCCTTTGGGAGCAGTGATGCCAGATTGTGGGTAATTTCCCTATTTGAGGAATATTTTGCAACAAAAATTATTAAAAGGGAAAAAGGGACATTTCAAATAAGAAAGGATTTTCACTTAACACAATTATCGATGCGAAATTGTTTAAAATTCAAGAATATTCGAAACTCTTACGTAATTAATCTTCTGAAGATGTAATGTGTTGTAAAATGTTTTATGAGTATGAGAAATTGTAAGGACAATTTTGAAATTTTTCTCACGTTAACCAATTCAACCGCTATGAATGTTACTTCTTTACCACTGAAATACATGTTTCGAATTCTTTGGGATACATTTTTAAGATGTGGGTAATTGAGGGATTTTTCGCCGATTTTCGTAGGATAAGTTTAGCAGAGAATGTCTGGCATCACTGTTTGGGAAGTTAATTAAACTTGAGAATCTCCATCGAACAGGCTAACGGAAGATATGCTGCACAACTTGTAGGTAGGATAGCACGGCGCATATGGCCTTAGTTAGATAGGAGCAGCGCATTATCTACGAAAGGATGCCTTCTGATGTTGCCAGAGTCTTAAGGAATGCGTTCCATAACTACTTTATTGTGTGCTGAACTAAGTACGGCTAGTATATACATATGATTTTGTGAGGTCCATCAGAATAATGAATAGGGTTCACTTCTAGGGGAAAAAATAAGGAGCCTCTATTGCGGGATCACAACGAATCAATGGCGTTCCAAGTGTGCCTCCGTGCAATGCTAGATGAGTGCAGCCATTTTAACGCAACTTGACCGAACCAAATTACTACGGTATCCCTTAAATTTTTTTCATTTAACGCCCTGTGGAAATCCAGCATTAGTCAATAGTTAATACTAAGTAGTATTATTAATTTACTTCATAAATTTTTTTTAGACAATTGGTTCTACAAGCTTTGGTAAACTTAGTCATGGGGCCATACTCAGCTGAGCAACTCGTAAAAGTGATCCAAACGATGATGTCGATTTAAAAAAAAAAAACGAACAAAATCATTATTAAAAAGGAGGCAAATTTTCTCCAAAACGGATACGTTAACAAGGAAAACTGCTGAAAAAAAACTATGCACCCACAACGAGTCACTGTTTGGTGTGGTTTTTGGGCTGTGGTTTTTGGGCTGGCGAAGTCATCGATAACGGACGTTATCGTGACATGATAACAAACTTTTGATGGCTTAAATTGGTATGTGGTTTAAGCAGAACGGTGTCACTTGCCACACCGCAATATGAAACAATGACCTTATTGCGAACAGCTGTGGTCTTATTGAATCATCCTATACTACTTAGTACTTATGGAAAGCAAGCCGGTTTTCTCCCTACTGTTTTGTACATACATTTATTACCTCAGCCCTAAATCAGTTTGCTTGGGAATACAATTCACAATAAAACGCTTTAATTGTTACTTGGTTAATGTTACAAATACCCACTTGAGGCCTCATTATTCGAACTAAATATGCGCATATGTACTTACGTGAATTACCAGTTCAAGGCTGCTTACAAATGAAAAAAATGTGAACCGATAACAAAGAAACATAAGGACAAATATGTATGTATGTATGTAGTTATCATTACCATTACCATATAAGCTAATGTACATATGTATGTATGTATGTAAGTTGGTGTGCAGTGCGCTTTATTCAGCCACTGGAACGAATGGATAAGAACCGAACGTGGCCGACTGAATGCCAGTGCTAAGCCAATTGAGAAAC